GATGAGGCATAAGAAGATCGTATACCTCTTTCATCAGTTGCCGAAAAAAATAATCATCATGTAAACACAACCAATTTTTACCGAGATAAGGGACAAAGGCAAGATATAGGACTTTCATGCTCTATATTTTTTCATGATGAATACAACATGCATCTAATAATAACCGTCTCATTTTTTCGACATCAGGATCAGGCATAAGAAGATCGTATACCCCTTTCATCATTTGTCAAAAAAATAATCATCATATAAACACAACTAATTTTTATCGAGATGAGGGACATGCAAATATATAGGACTTTAATGCCTTATGTTTTTTCACGATAAATACAACATTTATCTAATAATAATCGTCTCAATTTTTCGACATCAAGATGAGGCATAAGAAGATCGTATACCACATTCATCATTTGTCGAAAAAAATAATCATCATGTAAATACAACCAAGTTTTACCGAGACGATAAAAAAAGGCAATATATAGGACTTTTATGACTTATATTTTTTTACGATGAATACAACATGCATCTAATACTAACCATCTCAATTTTTCAACATCTGGATAAGGTATAAGAAGATCGTATACCTATTTCATCATTTGTCGAAAAAAATAATCATCATGTAAACACAACTAATTTTTACCGAGATGAGGGACAAAGGCAATATATATGACTTTCAAGCCCTATATTTTTTCACGATGAATAAAACATGCATCTAACAATAACCCTCTCAATTTTTCGACATCAGGATCAGGCATAAGAAGATCGTATACATCTTTCATCATTCATCGAAAAAATAATCATGTAAATACAACCAATTTTTATCGAGCTGAGGGACAGACAAATATATAGGACTTTCATGCCCTATGTTTAATTCACTTTGTATTTTCTTTTGTAGTTTTACTTTTCTCTTCTTTTAACATATAGATACAGGAAAGGGGTGGGGGATTCAGAGCCTTGGATTCCTCGGCTGATACCGGATTTCTTGTTGGCAGTGTCAATTAAAAAAAAGCATCCTAGTAATGTTATTATGTCTATCACAAAAATAGGGTTTATTTGATATATTAGTCGACTAATCGATTTGAACAACTTTGCGGTTATGATATTTTGGATTTTCAGATTTTTAATATATTATTTTGGAAGAATTAAAAGAAAATTTAGGTGTTACTGTCTAACCGCAAACAAGGCTAGCATATCAAAACAAGGTGAAACGTTTTTTTTTTTACTGAACAAGGTGTAAACTTATGTTTTTGGTTATGATTTTGATTTTTGAAGCAATACCATTTATGTTTTTGGATATTTTTATTATAAAAGTAAAATAGTAGTAAAATTCAAATTCAAATGCTAACTAAAATTTTAACTTAGAGTTAATTTTGGATTTAGATTCAAATTTTCAAAGTGACATTAAACATATAAAAATTTACATGGAATTAAGATAACTGTTCATTAAATTGAATCCTTGAGAACCTTCTCGTGCTTCTGAAACTCACCAACTCGACCATGTGAGAGATGTGGAAGCCAACGAATGTAATTACAGATGTATTGTTGGGTACAATGGAACAAAGGTGTTCACTTCCAAAGTACATTGATTTCTTCTTCAGTAATACTCAACAGTGTACATAGTGTTGAAATAAAAGAATAAGACGGAAGAAGGAAACCAGCTGAGAGTGTCAACGATGGGGCAAGTCGTGTGTGAGTTCGCGAGTAGTGTTAAAGTTGGTCTAATCAATGGTGGTTCTAGTAGATTCTGAGGAACGAGACTGTCTGTGAGGAATTTATTTGCGAGAGAGGATAAATAATTTAGTGTGATTGATGTAGATATAATATATGAGAGTGAGATTAACTTAATAGTTAAAATAATGGTCACCTGCGTTTTTGTCGATAACTTACTTATCTTAATATATATATAAATATATTCGTTTATTATATGAGTAAATCTATCTAAACTTATTCTATTCAATAGCTCATGTTTTATATCAATTTTCTACGATTCAATCGTTGAATTTAAAGATCTTAATTCATAGATAAATTTTGTAAATTTTTAGAAAATTTAAAAATCATTTGATACTTCATTTTATTAATTCAAATTGACGGATAATCATAAAATCATTTTATACATTGATTTGAATTAATGAAACGAAGTATCAAATAATTTTTAATTTTTAAAAAATTTGCAGATTTGATCTATGCATTAAGAACTTTAAATTCAACGGTTGGATCGTAAAAATTTGATGTAAAACATGAATTATTGAATGAAGTCTAGGTAGACTTACTCCTAAAATAAATAGATCTTTCCTCGTATATATATATATATAGTGAATGAGTTTGCAATATTGTTTTTTTGGTTTAAGTCATATATTTATTATATGTCTTTCTTTATCCCGATAATTTTTGTTCAATAACAATCTTTAATAATAAGAAAAAACTCTTTGTACCCAAGAGGAACTCTTCTTATGTTATACACATCAATACAACAAGTTTTTTTCTTTACACATTTGGTTTTCCAGGATCAATTCTGAAAAATAAATTTGAAACTATATCAATACAACATGCTTTTGGGTGTAACACTTAGTAAAAGTTACACCGGTGTCGTTTGAACCCTTCTCATATATATATATATATATATATAAGGGATCCATCTACTTTAAGAGTAAGTCTATCTAGACTTACTTCGTTCAATTACCCATGTTCTATATCAAATTTTAATGATCCAATCGTTGAATATTTAAAGTTCTTAATGCACAGATCAAGTATGCAATTTTTTTTAAAAAAATTGAATATCATTTGATATTTCATTTCATTAATTTAAATCAATGTATAAAATAAGTTTATGATTATCCGTTAATTTGAAATAATGAAATGAAGTATTAAATAATTTTCAAATTTTCTAAAAATTTGTAGACTTGATTTATGCATTAAGAACTTTAAATTAAATGGTTGGATCGTTGAAATTTGATATAGAACATGAGTTATTGAACGAAAAAAGTCTAGGTAGACTTACTCCTGGAATAAACGGATCCCTCTTTTAGTAGATTTTTCTACCTTAATAATTTAGTCTTAATCCCTTTTGTAAATCAAAGTTGAGGCTAATGGATATCACTGAAGCCTTTCAATATAGGCATGATGGTCACCCTGGCCCTTATAGGAGCCCTGACCCTAATAAGATCACAAAACGTGGCCCTGATGGAAGGCCACCACCACAGGATTGCTTGCACTGGTGCATGCCTGGCCCTGTTGATACCTGGAATGAACTTGTGTTTGAAATCATTAGGAGAGAATATAAAGGTGGAAGGGCATCATGAGATTTGTTTATTTTTTTACTATCAAGGTCTATGTTGTGCTTGTCCACTCAATTGGGTATGACTTGTGTAGAAATATGATTGTTTGAGAAGGGGTAAAAGATAGTAGCCAACTTGAATCTTTTCATAGCATATTTATTAATTATAGAGATTTTTTTTTAAAGATTGGGATGATAATATGTTAGGTTATTCCACAACCATCAAAAGTCATTTGTACTACTACATGATCCTATACAAGTTTTGATATTAAATATCAACTTATATTGTTTCTTGCATTTGCGTGTTATCAAGGAACACAACAGAAAACTCATACATCAAAATAGAAAATATTCATATTTTACATGTTCCTAGAAGCATGCATCAGGCAAGGAATTAGGGGTTAATCCTGCTACCCAACAATTATTCCTACACCTCCAAGCGAAGTTTCTCACTCACCCCTTACCTTGATGAGCATAAGATGAAGCACGAGTAGAATCAGGTTGGTTCTCTTCTTCAGGTTCTCCTTGGTCTTTAGAAGCGTAGAAAGAAATGAGTCAAGAAGAAGTGAATACGTGAACTGACTTGGTAACCTCTCTTAATCCTTTTTTTCTTAATTAATAAAATAAATATTAATAATAAATATCAAAAGACCTCCACGTCCCTCCTTCCATTCTCATAAAAAATAATAATATTAATATTAATATTAAACATACCTTCTCCCTTTTATAAGATAACTTAAACATAATTATTAATAATAAAATATATTCACCAAAATAACTCCTGCTCCACTAATTAAACAAAATATAATTGCAAATCGTGTCACATAATTAAAATAGAGCTCATATAACTAATTAATTAATATTTAAAACTAAAATAAATACATTAATCGTGAAAACAATTTCTAAAATAGTATTTATTATAAGATATGAAATTCATGATGTTACATGATCACTATTTTTGATACTTGATCTTGTTTCCTTGTCATTTGTTCCTTGAAACCCTGATGCAGAAAAATTATAATGTGAATGTTTACATAAAAAAGTATTAATTGAATAAAAAAGAACAAAGAGTCTTCATATATAAAGATAAGTCATCATAAAGAAAATGACAAATTTAAAACATATTTAAAGTTAAACATGACTAACCAAAACTAATGTTAGTATTTTATATTAATCATAAACATTGGGATTAATGTGTATATTACTTAGTCTTGCCTCATTATCATTTGTTCGTTAAAACCTTAGTGATAAACTATAATTTCATGATTATATTAAAAAAAATGAAGTGTTCATATATAAAGATAATCACAAAGAAAACCCAAAATTTTAAACATATAAAAAATTATACATGACTAACCATGACCAATGTGACCAATATTTGTAATACTTGCATTTGGTTGAATGTCACATATTCGTTGAAACCCAATAGTCCGAGCTAATTGTCATACATATGTCGGTCTCCTTCTACAATATATAAAGGGGATACCCATTTTGGTAACCACCTTGGTCTCCACTTTTTTGGACCATTATACCCTTTTAATTTTAAAAATTAGAAAAAATATTTTTAATCAAATTTAAAAACTTGAAACTAATAAATCTATACTAATATATAAAGGGGATACCACTTTCAATTACTACTTTTGATTTGCATTTTTACATGGACCATTTTATTTTTATTTTTATTTTTCAATAACTACTTTTTTATGAGTAATTTTTTATTTTTAATTTTTTTTACTTATTTTTTTCTTTTAATATAATGCAGGCACGAAGTACCTTTTTCGTGCTAGTTAAAATAATGCAGTATAAGTTGTATAACCATCAATAGTTTTCAACTTATGACACGTTCATTTTTATATTTTTAGAAAATATTAGAATTAAGTTTTGTTCCTTTAAATTTATTTTAATTAAATTAAAAAAAATGCACTACAACATGCGTAACCGTCAACTCATGACATGGTTCGTTTTTATATTTTAAGAAAATATTTAAATTAATTTTTTTTCTTTTAAAAATTAAAAAAAACTTAAAAGAAAATAAAACTCAAAATGAAAAATAAACATAACTTTAAAAAAAATTTACCAAACTTATTTCATTTGAAATATATATATATATAAACATTTTAGAGTTTAATGTTGTGTAGAAATATTTTTATATTTTAAGAAATTATTTAAATTGAATTTTGTTCTTTTAAATATATTTTAATTTAATTAAAAAGTATCCACTACAACTTGTGTAATCATTTTTTTTAGAAAGAAACTTACAACAATGAGAAAAGAATCTCATAAAAAGGTTGAAAAACTTGCATATAGTAGAAATAGTAGAAGTAATGCAATTAAGTAGAAAATTGAGAGATTGAAGCTCCATGACTCAGAAGAATGTCCTAAGAATAAAGTTATGAAAAGATTATCTTAACGTCACATAAAAAAAATCCACCAATAAATTAAAAAAATCATCAATAAATTATAATAAAAAAATAGAGAATAAATGAAAAATAAACAATTACACGAACCTAAAGAACGTTATTATTACCATTGAAGATGAAGTAACTTATTGAAAAGCATCCCACAATAATATTCAAAGTGAGAGGAATGGGAAGTAAGAGATACACAATATTAAATCCAAAGTAAACGGTTACTAAGATTGAGGAGGAGGTTGTGCGGTTACTCAATATGTACAGTTACTAAATAATAAATTTTTTCACTTTCCTTATTGTGCAAAATAAAAAAAGCTATCGCCATTATCTATTGGTATAGAATAGATATTATACTTTTTATTTAAGTAAAATATAAATTGTTTAAAAAATATTATTATATAATATTATATTGAATTC